TTTCTCTATAATTTTCTATTGAACCACTTAACAATAAAAAATAAAATAATATTTTAAACATTTATTTTTCTTAACATAATTTTTAACATATAAAATTCTTTTTCTTCTTATTTGGAAAGGCAAAGTTTCTCTATAATTTTCTATTGAACCACTTAACAACTTTTTTTATTAATTTTTTTATATTAATTTTTTATCAAACACAATAAAATTAATAAGCCAACAAAATTCTAATAAAATTTTATTACAAAACTTATCATCTTTTTGTATAATATTTTTTAACCAAATTAGTTCTTCAGTTTGATTGTTTTCCTCACACGTCTGCTTTCCTCCCTCATTTGGGTGTAGTCATAGCAAACAATGAAATTATTGAGGCCATCAAATTTATATTTAATTTAATTAATATTTGTATTTTTTTAATGAATGGTTATAATATCAGAAAATATTAAGTTATAAACTAATTTTAATTTATTAAGTAATATCAATTGTTTTTCAATTATATTATTATTATTATTATTATTATTATTATTTTGATTTGCACAATGAAATATAACCATTTGTCATTTCTTATTTTATTCTATCTGCATACTATGCAATTCTAACTCAAGATCTCTTACATTCATTGGAAGAAGATAATCACTAAATTATTTAATTCGTTGGTGTTCTTTCAATTGTTAACTATCCTTAATAATCAAGACAGAATCAGTTCTTTATTAACAGAATTTTGGTTGCCTTAACAATTTAATTGGCGTCATAACCACACCACCCTGATCCTTGTACAAGTATTATCATGCATGCTTAAGCTTCAGCCTTCATGTGCATGCCCACTGTCTGTTTTTCCAATACTGGTGCTGAAACACAAATAAATGAAACCCAAAAATGATGCAGGAAGACCCCATCGGTGCCAATAGAAATAATGCTTAAGCAGCAAGACACAAGTAGTCCTGCATTTCAGCTAAAGTTCTCCCATGATTATTTGAATACAATTCTACCATCATTTCTCAGTCCCCAGAAGGAAATCCCCACAAAAAATAGAACAGATTATGTTGAGAAAATATCATGTAACAATGTCCAGTTGCATTAATAATTAAAAAGAAAGGGCAACAAAAAATGCAGTTCACAGTATTAAATGTGCTGATCATTCATTCTTTCGCATCAAAATCAAAATCACCCCACCTCTATCCTAAATATTTTCAACCACTCATTCTTTCATGCATAAGATGATCTATTGTCTTAACAGTCATACCTCTATCTATAAACAATTCAAAAGAATACGCGTTTATTTCGAAGAAAGTCCAGGAAAAAGGGAATGGCAAGATATTTTTTTCTAGGTCCCAGCTTTAGGCACTCCTAATGATGAGTGAATATGAGGTTATATTGGGAAAATGAAGCAAAGATCATGTTTCATGAAATGCCACAGAAGCGCAGAATGGAGGATAATTCTGTACAGAGATCTAAAAATTATGAGCAAATACTTCGATACGTCACAGTACCTTCAATGGGGCAAGATTACATGTAGACATGCCAGTTATTGGTTTCAAGCTTCTATTTTCAGCAGTATAAAATGCTAGGGCGCTCTCTCCTGGTTTGACTCTTACCTAGCGAAAAGAAATGACAAAAAGATATGTTAAACATGATGGAAACCATCCTCTAAATTGCAAATTAGACAGAGTGAACTTGGAAGTGGGAATCACCTCTCTTTGAGTCGGAATAAATTTCCATGGCATTCCATCACAGACATCAGCATTGAACTGCACAACTATCTCCCTGGTGAAAGAGACAAGAACTCATCAAGATAAAGACAAACCTGATAGTCCTGTCACTCAGGTCAAATTCCATATGCCTCAGAAAAGAATCTCTAGAGAATGCATGCAATAGTTGAAGTTGCATAAACAAACAGATTGAAATGTGAAACTTAAAAAATTATGCAAAGATCCTAAACCCTGTGAAATCAGAGTTCAGAGATGCTATTAGCTGATTAGTTGAGGCAGTCCTGCATCTTTAGTTTCTTTGTTGTGGACTGGCATGACTATAAGAGGATGTATATAATTAGAAGATAGAATAAGGGGTCAAAATGTCAGACACCATACCTCTCACTCAAAGAGCAGTGTCTGGAACAAATATAAAGAGGCCAAAAAGGTACTACCTTGAAAGTTAGAAAATAATGATATCCACTTCAACTTCAGGGATGCACATGCTCAAACAGTTTGTGTAGAAGTTTGCTAAAAACTAAAGAAACCAAGCCTTGGCGCTTAGGAATATATCCTTCTCCTTGTTTTCCACTTTCTTCTCAACAATTAACATACTATATTCTAGCATACGGTTGGAACTTGGAAGCCCATAAAGTTCATCTCCACACCCAAAAGAAAAATGTTTCACCTGCAGAATATCACTCCAGAAATCCTACCATTTTACTACTTTGGGCATGGAGAAGGATCTCATCAACATGTGTCATAAGATAAAGTCTGTTATAAATGAAGTCCACTTAGTTTGGCATGCCACATGTAGAACAAAACAGTCTAAAAAAGT